TCTCAGGGGGAATTCATTTACTCAGTATTTGGAATAAACTCAAGGTACTTGTGCCCTAATGAAAGGATAAGCGATTAAAGAAACCCCTTGCCCCAATTATGCCCTATTGATGATTTGGCTATCCTACCCTACGGCCCTAGTTGCCCCTGCAACCAAAACAGCATTGCCACCTTCAACAGACCCAGGTCTGTTTACAGTATGTGAGTTAGCCAGGTTTTGACAACGCTTATACTTACCACCCTACCACATTGGCATTCACAATTCAACCTTGTAGACCGAAGGGTAGCAAGAACCAGGTCATCACCAGGACTGTCAAGTGGGACCCTCCCTTCACCAGATTTTTGTCCAATTAGGTCCACAACTTCCCCGGAAGGCTAGACAGACTTTGGCGTCATAGAGACACCCCCCTCCATGGTAGCTCTCAACGCCCACCATACCAACAGGCAACACTTTACATCTTACATTCTTTACATCATGGCCATCACAGCCCAAATAGTACCAGACTTCGGCAAGCAAGCTCTAGGTAGTGACATGCTTATACTACCTACCCTACCACATGGCCCCTAATAGCCGACACATCTAAAATGCAACTACTGGTGCCAATATTACAGGATACATACATATATTAGATCATACATGTTTAAAGGTGCACTATGTAGATTTGGTGGTGAAATTTCAAAGTTGGAGAAGTGAAACAATTCTGATATATTTTCTAAACTGAATACGCAAACTTTATTCAAAGTAAAAAATGGGTCCCTGGAACACAATTTTGGAGATATAAAGCTACCAGGAGAGTTACGCTTTCACTGTTGCGAGCCCACCACCAACTTCAAACAGTGTCACAGGGACCACATTTTTCTCTGAGGACAGTTTGTGTACAGAGTTATGATGGACATATACCACATAATCTATAAATTTCTCCAACTTCAACATTTATCTACTAAAACTAAATAGTGCACCTTTAAAAGTGTAAGAAAATGGAACACAAATATGCAATTTGAAGCAAAACAAACAAATACCAGGGCATTTTGTCCTAGACCTTTAATAATAAAAAATAAAATAAAAATTGAACCTTTTTTAAAGCAAGTTTAATTCTTTGGTACGAAGTTTCAACGGTTACACCACATAGACATTTCAGCCTACATACCCCAAATACTCTCTAAAAATTCATAATAAATCTAAATTAGACTAGGCCATCAAAAAAAGAATGAAAGCATGTAATTTGTGCATTTATTTGAAAATGTTAAGCCTTTAATATTTAACTACACAAAAAAAATGAGCATCTCGTCATTGACCCAAATATCATTTATAAAATCAGAATGGATGCGTTATAAAAAAAATCATCCCCCGCACAGTGTGTGCCCATGAGGACAATAACAATTTAGACTTATTTTGTTCTTTGAACCAGGCTGTAAACATGTTTATGTATGCTGTGAAAACTTTTTTTTTTTTAATGTATGTGACTTCCTGTGCTTCTGCAGCAAGCCTCAAGCAAACACTCAAGGAACTGCATGTTTTGCACTTCCACATTGCCTTCATTTTTGAACACCTGATGTTGCCGCTTGGCTAAAACACACAAGGGGCCTAATTCTCCTTTTTTAATTATTCACTAACTGTTTAAAACCGGGTTGTCAAACTCTTTTAAATGTGAAGCTATACATATCTGTGTATGATAGGACTAGTGGCTTCAAAATTGGCTAGAAGCCACAAATGTATGGCTTTTACGGACACTGTTTTTTTTCATGGATTTCCATGCCATGGAACTCACTACCTGGCTTTTTGTTCTACTGGATGACAACTCCATGAGTTTTTGTGGAAAGCTCTGACTAAATATTTCCTTGTTCCCTTCTCTACAGATCTACAGTTTGAAGATTGGTGTATCCAGCAAGAGCTGACATGCACTGCAAGTGACTTTCAATCATTTACTGCGAGGTGAAATGGCCCAGAAAGGAGTTAAGCTGGACCGAGAGGCAATTTGTTGTTCCATCTGTCTGGATCTCCTGAAAGATCCGGTGACGGTTCCCTGTGGACACAGCTACTGCATGAACTGTATCAAAAACCACTGGGATAAAGAGGATGAGAAGACAATCTACAGCTGCCCTCAGTGTAGGCAGACCTATGCAACAAGGCCTGTCCTTGGGAAAAACACTGTTTTAGCAGATTTAGTGGAGGAGCTGAAGAAGACTGGACTCCAAGCTGCTCCTGCTGATCACTGCTATGCTAGACCTGATGATGTGGCCTGTGATGTCTGCACCGGGAGGAAACTGAAAGCCTGTAAGTCCTGTCTGCAGTGTCTGGCTTCTTACTGTGAGAATCACCTTCAGCCTCATATTGAATCCCCTGCCTTTGAAAAACACAAGCTGGTGGAGCCCTCCAAGAAGCTCCAGGAGAACGTTTGCTCTCGTCATGATGAGGTGATGAAGATATTTTGTCTCACTGATAAGAAGTCTATCTGTTATCTCTGTTTAATGGATGAACACAAAGGTCACGACACAGTCTCAGCTGCAGCAGAAAGGACCAAGAGGCATAGAGAGATCAAGGTGAGTCGACAAAACATCCAGCAGAGAATCCAGGACAGAGAGAAAGATGTGAAGCTGCTTCAACAGAAGGTGGAGGCTATCAATGGCTCAGCTGATGAAGCAGTGGACCACAGTGAGAAGATCTTCACTGAGCTGATCGGTCTCATGGAGAAAAGCCGCTCTGATGTGAAGCAGCAGGTCAGATCCCTGCAAAAAACTGAAGAGGGTGAAGTCAGAGAGCTTCAGGAGAAGCTGGAGCAGGAGATCACTGAGCTGAAGGGGAAAGATGCTGAACTGGAGAAGCTCTCACACACAGAAGATCACAACCAGTTTCTACAGGACTACCCCTCACTGTCACCACTCAGTGAATCTACACACTCATCAAGCATTGATATCCGCTCTTTGAGGTACTTTGAGGATGTGACAGCAGCTGTGTCAGCAATCAGAGATAAACTACAGGACGTCCTGAGAGAGAAATGGACAAACATCTCACAGACAGTGACTGAAGAGGATGTTTTACTGTCAGAACCAGAGCCCAAGACCAGAGCTGAGTTCTTAAAATATTCATGTGACATCACATTGCATCCAAACACAGCACATAAATGGCTGTTATTATCTAAGAGGAATAGAAAAGCAACGTTGATGTTTAAAAAACAGTCTTATGCTAATCACCCAGACAGATTCATCGATTATTGGCAGGTCCTGAGTAAAGAGAGTCTGACTGGACGTTGTTACTGGGAGGTGAAGTGGAGAGGAGGGGTTTATGTTGCAGTCGCATACAAGAATATCAGCAGAGCAGAGAGCTCCATTGAATGTGTATTTGGGCACAATGATAAATCTTGGGCGTTAGATTGTGACAACAGCAGTTATAACTTCTGGTACAACAATGTCAAGACTCATGCCTCAGGTCCTCTGTCCTCCAGATTTGGAGTGTACCTGGATCACAGTGCAGGTACTCTGTCCTTCTATAACATCACTGATACCATGACTCTCCTTCACAGATTTCGGACCAAATTCACTGAGCCTCTCTATGCCGGACTCGGGTTTTATTATCCTGGAGACAACGCTGAGTTCTGTAAATAAAATAGAAATTTCATTCTGCCTGTGTTCAAAGTAATGAAACGTATTTTGTCTTCATGTTTGTTACTGAGGACTCATCAAGCAAACATTACGTGCAGTACTTGTGAGACTGAATAGCTTAATTTACCGTCCCTCTATCCAGCTATGTTTACCAGCTCCTCTGGGGGGTTTCAAGACGTTCCCTTAGCCACCGTAGCCCTCTATTAAGCCCCACACTCACCAGAAAGTAACCCTTTGCCAAATCCCCTCTGGAACCGCCCCTGCTGCTTTACAACATTACAGACTCAAAACAAAAATGCAGCTGAATGAAGATAAATAAAGTGACTATTAAAATTGCGTCAATCTTTTCTTGAGACTGCTACAAACATGGTGACCAACACAGACAATTGTTGTTGTCTGAAGTGCTGCACCTGGATTTACTAATTCATCCAACGCTGCCTCGTCGGATGAATGAACGTCCATGTCAAATTGCATTGTTGCACATGCCACTTATTTAATTTTACTTGCAATGGCTCCACATTTCCATATTTCCATGTCAAAAATACCAGCTTGTAACTCTTGCATGCAACTGCTTAGCGGTCAAAGAACTGTTTCCCCTCCCGGATGGAGCACCTGACCAGTAACAAAGGTTCCTTATATAGAGGTAATCATTAATCACCCTGTGAGATCCTTTACAAACACACCACATATTATTTTCATGATCTGCTCCTACACGTGTATGAAATGTTTCAACCCCTTGGTTTTTTCAATTATATTTTCAGAACATTTCTCTGTCACTATTTGACATTTTTCATCACAACCCACATCGTTATCAATTTGTAGTTTAATGAAACTTTTTGTGTGTGTTTGAGAGGTAAAATATTCTAAGAAAGGTTACTTCTACTTTTTGTTACAAGATGTGTTTTGCTTTTTACCACTTTATGTTCAGAAATCCAAAATCAAATGTTTTTTTGATTTGTAAGTGAGACCAAATGTTTAATAAAGTTACTGAGAGGAGTGATAAGACTGTAAATATCCTGATCTTAATCAGTTATTTTCATGTTTTGGTCCAACAAACATCACTGTGTGAATAAAGGGAGATCACTTAACAAGAGACATTTAACAGATCTGATGTGTGAACAAACCAAAGTTTTGCATCCCGAATAAACAAACATGAACAGTGTTTTCTTGTCATCTCCTTTTAAAACAGAACTTTGTCTATCTCTTCTTTCCTCTCTTTCCCATGTGACATGAATGCATCATCAGAGTTAAAGGTTGTTGTGACTCCTGTGAAACTTAAATCTGTCTTTACTGATGTTGTCTGAAGCTGCCAAAGATTTCATGCCTTCCTGCAGAAAGCTGAAAATCACCACAAGAGGGCGCCTTCATCCTGCTAACCAGGGATGTAAAGATCCACTTAAGCACCTGAACTAAGTTTGTGCAGAAGAGAGTCATGTGAAAAAAAGTCAAACCAGTTAAAGTTATCAGCTAATTCCCACTGATCTTCATTCATATCTGTCCCTGGATTCTGCTGCCATTCTTCTCCATATTACCAAGTGTTTTTATGTAATTTCTAGTCAACAATACACTTATTAAAAGTCACAATCGCCTGACAAGTCCAGAAAATCATCTTCAAGATACAGAATAAAACATGTATTGCTTTAAATCTGTACAAATGTTGCTAATGCAGCAAGCAAATTTAACTTGCATTGACATTATTTTTCACTTTTTACAAGCAGTTCAGACCTTTATTTTTTTTTGTTATATATCTTGAAATAAGATATAGTGTATTGAGTTAGTTTTGACGTTGTTAGATCAATATACCTGGTAAGATTTGAGTTTTTGCAGTATTGATGCCTCACTGGAGACTCTGGACCAGCTTATTTTAAGGCAATACAAATAGTAAATCCAATAAAGAAAGTGTTTTTCAGGGAAATAAAATGCATTTTTATAAGATTAAACTGTGATGAAGGAAAACACAACAAAAACTTTCATTCACTCAGGGATTTAGGGATTACAGAGTCGTGCATAAGAAGTTCCTCTCTTCACTCAGTGATGGACGAGTGAGCGGCACACCTACCGTCATAGGCTATATGAGAGAAAAATAGCCTATGCTGGAAAATATGACAGAAAAATATGCTGGAAAAGCACATTTACCATCGTGATATCAACAGTAACAACAGATGTAGATTGATAAAAGTAGAATATAAACGCAGAAAATGATCAAGAGTGAAATATAGAGCAATCACGGAGCAGTTATTTTGTTTTGTATCAAAGTCGATTTCCCGGTGAGTTAGCTACTAGCCAAAACTGCATGTTGTCTTTAAGTTAATTTAACTCGAATATTGGTCATTAAAAACAGCAAGGGTTAGCTAGAAATCTGAGTTATCCATGAGTGATAAACAAATATCCCTTTTCAACTTCATTAAGCTAAATTAAGAGAGTATGGATACTGGTGGTAAATTAGCTAAGCTAGCAGGTGTTATGGTAATTGACTACTTTCATCCAAATTCGTCCGTGGTTGTCATAGTTACAACTGTTTTTGAAGACGATAAGAGTCCTAATGTGCCTTTGTTTAATTTCTTTAAAAATGATAATGTCTAAAATACTTAAAGGATACATCTTAAATAAAACACTAAACATTGAGGCAATGATTAGTACACTTTTTGACTTCAATATCTTTGGTTCTGCGACAACCAACAGCAGATGCCATGTTACTAAAAGTCTTCAGTTAACAGGGTCACTTTTTAAACTGTAATAAGCAATACTTTACGTTTGGTGACGTTTTAACAAGCTCAATGATCTGCTGAGTTCTGTAAACTGAAGTAGGCCAAAGTCATTGAGAAGACAGTGGGTTGAACTAACTCCGCTCTCAGAGTTTATTGTTTGTATTCACACATTTCATACATTTATATGCTGTTGTTTCTGTTCTGATTCATGAGTCTGAAGCGAGAGAGCAGCAACCTTTTCTTTAATGTTGATTTTCTCTTCTCAACACTTTATACATTTGTTGAAAATCTCCTCTTGTGTGGATAAAGTGAATGTGTGTGAATCAACTGAAGTTTGACATCCTGAATAAACACATGAACAAAATGTTTTCTCCTTGTCTTCATTGCAGGGTGTTGTACAATGCTCACTAAAAAAGATTTGTTGAGGAATGAGGAGAGTATTTTCTTTCCTATATTTCCCATTGTCCCATTGTAACCTAAGAGATAAGTAAGCTCAGGAGCTACCAGGAAGATATGGTTAGTAACGCACATGGTACGTGAGGATTTACAGACAGTGACATGCAGTAATATGATGTGAATGCACAGAGATGAGAGCTCAAGGTGCAAGTTCCCCCGGCAGTCTAAGCCTATCAAAAATGAAAGTTTTAAGCCTACTATTAAATGTATACAGGGTATCTGCCTCCTGGACCCTGATTGGTAGATGATTCCAAAGGACAGGGGCCTGATAACTGAATGCTCTACCTCCCATAGTACATTTAGACTGTATGTATTACCAGCAGGCCTGCATGTTAGCTTAATGTGTGTGCACGTGAGCTAGCTTTAAGGACTTGTAAAATGTCAAACTATATCATGATATTTAAAATGAAATCAACATCACAAGCAAAAAACATCTAAACTTTGTGAAGTGCAGCTTAGAAAGCTGATATAGAGTTTACACTAAGTGAGATTGTTCATGTTCAGGGTTAGAGCGGGAGAGTGTTCATCAGTCAGTCTGTTCCTTTAGCTCTCGACCCTAAAAGCTTTGCTCCTGAGGAATGAGCAGAGTTCTCTTCAACACTTTAAAATCGTCTTGACAGACTCTTTTTTACTTTCTCATGTGACCTGACCACGGGTCTGCATGTGAACAAATTTCAATAATGTGGTATAACATATTTAAATCTCTCTTTACTGATATTGTCTGAAGCTGCCACAGTTATCAGTGAGAAAATAAACTCGCACAACCCTTGCCCCTATAAAACCACCATGCATACATTGCTAAACCTCTTTGGATCTGTGAATAGGCCAGCTGGGCTTGCTGGTTATGCGCAGATGTAACGCTTAGTGATCATATTAAATCATACCCGTGTCTACGCTACTGTGATTGGCTGAATAGGAAGAAGACATCTGATTGGCTGCAGACAAAAACATTTTATTTGTGAATTGAACCACGGCATATGGAGTCTCAAAAATCCCCCACACAAATGCAGAATGTTTCAAGTGTCCTACAATGTAACCTGAAATGTACATTATGTCAATATCAGACCTGATACCGATCCGAGTTCATCTCTACAAAATAATATTAATTTGGTATCAATAGATAATTTCTTTATAGGTAGCTAGCTACACCCTGTAGGATGCTACATTTCCAATATGGTGAACGCCAAAACCGTAGTCTGCATATACATGGACGTAGCCTCAGCAATGCCCCCAATTTTTTTTGTTCATCATGTTCCATGCTTTGCACATTTTCACTTTGGGGTTTGCTCCTTTTTTTCTGTTAAATCATCAGTTTAGCTTATAAAAAAATGTTTAAAATTCTATGCTAAGTAGTGAAGAAAAAATTGGTGGACAACTCCATCGTGGCCACCAGGGGGACCTTAAAGGTGCACTAGGTGGATGTGGTAGTGAAATTTGAAAGTTGGAGAAGTGAAACAATTTTCATGTTTTCTGCACTAAATACACAAACTTTATTCAAATAAAGTCCCTGGACAATGTCTGGCGCTAAAAAGCTACCAGGAGAGTTACGGTTTCACTGTCGCGGGACATCTATCTTCAAACAGTTCCAGGGACCAAATGTTCCTCTGAGGACAGTTTGTGTATAGAGTTACGAACATACACCACATAATCTGTGCATTTCTCCAGCTTTTACATTTCTCCACCAAAACTCCACAGTGCACCTTTAAGATCCGCTCAGACACAGACTTCATCTCCCAGAATCCTTCGCGCTTTCATGTTTTCTCTGCCTGCTTCCGCCATCCTGTCCGAGCGCGACGAGGGGAAACAGATGACTCGTCCGCTGTGTTGAGGTTAAAAAAACTTGCCCGACTGAAACGTCCTGCCTTCCGATTGAGAACATTTAAATCGCCGAAGCAGAGAGATTAGAAGGTGAGAGCGACTTCTTTGAGTATTATATAAGTATTAAAAACCTTTTGAATACACGTCTTCAAGCTACCTCGCTAGCTAGCTTTAAAAATGACCTGCATGATGCTGTTGAACTCCTT